TGGCATCAGGTCCTCTTCTCGGATGAGTCACTCTTCAGCCTGTTCCAAGCAGACAGGAAGGCCAGTGTGTGGAGGAGAAGGTGTTGTGTTTCTTTTTTCCATCAGTATTTATATATTAGATTAGAAAACTGAAGAAGAGTGCAAGAACGTTTCTTCTTCTCAAGCAGTTGCAAATACAGCCAAGTTAAGGAGATTTGACTCAGGTATACAAGATCCTAAAGGGTAAAGACAGGGTCAAACATATGGATGAAACGGGACTATATCACACACTGTAGTGTAACAAGAGTGTGCTTTCACAACTGGGAACTAAAGGGATATTTAGTATATAGAATAGAAAACACTAGGAGCTATGTGTAAATGGAACAGGTATTGCAATAAGATGGCTGAGATCGAAACAGTATTTTTAAGAAATGGTTGAAATTTTTGTTTCATTTAGCTATGAAGCTATGAAATGAGGGGCTGAATGGCCTTATTTAGCTTGCATTTGTCTAAAATTCTTATGTAATGTCATGTCATTATTTTTTTTTATCTGACAGCTAAGGTAAATAACCTCAAAAGTTCATCCACAGAATAAACTGCAATTTAAAGAACAGGAGCCAGTAGTGAACTGTCAACGCAGAAGCTTGTATTAAGTGTATTTGACTAATGTAAAATAATGTCATTTAATTTATTTGGCAGTAATCATTTATCATGTAGACATTTAGTTTTGTATTGTAGACAAACAAAAAAAAGCCTTCCGTTATTTTACTGCAAGGCCTACTGATGAACCATAAAAAGACCTTTTGACCATTTGACTGTAGTCTAAATGACCACATGCAGATTATATTGTAGTGATCACAATGTGTATGACTGGATATTGGAAAAACCTGTGATCCTTTTTATGCTTCCCTGATCTTGTGTGCATGTCTGTGTTTCTGTGGTACAGGAAACATGCACAGACAAAGGAGTGATTTGGTGCACCAGTCTTGCTGCACCCAAGGGGGAAGAGAGAACAAGAATGGAGGGACCTCTGGTGGACTCATCGGCTTGTACAAATAGGGTCTGTCCAATTGCTGGGATACACATAAATAATGGTGAGTTTTCTGGTTTTGGTAAGTCTGGGGAAGAATCCAGGGTTAATGTTAATGTCTATTCTCTGCTGTAAATTCTCAATATCCTCTGTCTTGTAACATATTTCTGTAATAAAGTAGTTGTATCCTAGCATATTTTCGTGACAATATCTTACATACATTTCAGTGTATGTCCTAAATAAATTATAATACAACCGATTAAATAATTATTGATTAAGTGGTTAAGAATTACAGAAATACTTATGCTGTTGCCAAATTAGAGATTTTTCCTCTGTATTTAGAATTCTCCATACTAAAATTCAGAAACAAGCGCAACAATGTCCTTACATAGACTTCCAAAGTAAACTTAGACTGCAAGCTTAAACTAGCTCTTGAGGAAATGTATTTACCCTTGAGTTGCACCCTCAGAGTTTTTTATTTTAAAAACACAGTGACATAACATTTCTGTCCATCATTGTAACCTCAGCACACCACAGCTGGAAATGGAATGCTATAGCTAAAATGTGGCAGATACTGAATCCCTCATTAAACCAAGCAAAAGTTAATTATGATTTCCCTTCTTTTTTTAAAAAAAGTTGTATAATTTCCCCTTGTTTAGCATACTTACAGTATCTAAAGCCCATGTTGTGATACTGCATTTTACAATTACCCAAGCCGACAAAATAACAATTCAAGCTGTTCTGGCTAAACCATTTTCAGCAGTGGCAAATGTACTTTATCTGTCTATAAACATGACCCTATTAAACATGAACACTTCAAACAAATCTTGCTTAATTTCATCATAATTTTAACTTCCTATTTTAATCTGTGTATCTTCAAAGGTTGGGATTAATAATCATCATTCTTAACTCTAAAATGGGTTTAATATAGCATCTGTAAAAAAATCTTAAACTTAGTCACAAATCGATTGTATTTTCATTCACAAGTAATCATGGCAATTAGAGATTTGCTTTTTGAGTTAAATGGATGCCTGAATTAGGAGGTGAAGGGTTCCTTTGTAATTTGTTTTATGCGTGATCCGTCGTCTGAAACATAATTTTTATTTTTCTTACTGAATAACTTATTACCTCCCATACTGTGCTATTGTGCACAAGTACTGTAGTCAATTAAGGTTCTAAAAAACTTAATTTGAGGACATTTGTCAATGACAGATCTTTACAGGAGTCTTCTTCTTTATTCTGAAGATGCAAAATTGCAGATTCATCCTGACAAAAGGGAGTGTACATCAGAAAACAGCAAACTAGTTACTAAAGAAAGATCACTAAATATCTTTAAGTAAATGGTTTCTAAAAGATATTTAGTGAAACGTTAAGAAGGACAAATATTAAGTTACCGATATAGGAAAAACAACAACAAACTAAGCATTTTCTTAATTGCACTTCTTTTATGACAGTTTTCCTATTGCTTCTGTTGCTGTTAGTACTCTGTTTTTCAAATTACAGTACATTTAATGGAGCATGTTAGAAACATATGCTAGGTTGACAGATCACCATGTCACTTGCTTAAGAATACATTCCTTGGCTACTACAGTATGTAACCATGTTCTCATGGTTACATAGTAAGGCAGTGTTTCCATGAAAACTTAACTGAGCCTAACAAAGCCAGTGCTTCAAAATCCAAATAAGAATAATTGTATTACACAATGCAGCACTACTACCTTGAAGCTTCATCTAATCAGCTTTCAGGAGCTAAGTAATATCTTATCAATACTGCCATGGAAAACCTCTAAGCAAAACCAGGCTGCTGCAGTACATGGTGTTGGTGGACCAGTCCCATCAGGTGTTTTTATCCCTCTGGACCAGGATTTCCAAACAATGCCCTAAAAATGATGACAGGGGATGCTGCTGCCCTTTGTATAAGTTGTTAAACCTGTTTATTTGGTCGCTATTTGTAGACTAACGATTGCAAGTAATTGTTCGCATGATTAAACATTGGGTTTGTTCAATCTGTCATATCTAAACTTCCTCTAGAATGCAAATACTGATGAAGTTTCTCATATCACCTCCTGGTCTGATGCGTAGTGAGGGTAATAGTATATCATGTCACTTCCATAATACATAATGGCAAAGCAAAATGGTCTGGGAGCCTTTAAAATAAAAATCACTATACAAATTAAATTAGTGTATTAGTATTAGTATATAAAATTCATATTAGTATTAGTTTAAATATTAGTATCAGTAACTGGGGTAATAAGAATAACCACCACCTTTTACATGCTTCTGACAAATTTGGGGTTTTGTTGTAATGAAAAACTAGTGTCTGAACAGTATTATGTGACATTTTCCATAGTTTTATCTTTTGAATTACTCAAAGAAAGAAAATAAGTGGTTTTAAATCAACAAACCATACTAGAAATTGTTGTGTAATCTCTTGAGAATGAAACATTCAGCTGATGACTAGTCTCAACAGCAGAGCAGAGGTCAAGCAGCTTGTCCACGGCTGGAGGTTATCAGTGTCTGTGCTGTAGGATATGAACCTGGAAGTGAAACTTGCTGTTTTTTTTGCTCATTTGCTGGTTGCCAGTGGAAAAACCATATTGGGAAAAAAATGTGTTGAATTTTGCCATGAGAGAGAATGTGAAAAAGGAGCAAGTGGACAGCTTTTTGTCTCTGGCAAAACCTTAACATTTGTTTTAAAAAAGGTTCCACATTTTTGCCATTTTTAAATGGTGTCTCAGCTGCTCAACTTCAATTCGTGTATTGGCACTGTAAAAATTATCTTTCCATTCAGCATCTCGCAAAGACCACCAGAATGTTACAGAGATACTTATAGGCTCTGCACCTCAATTTACAGTACATGGAGGATACCCATTCACTGTATCCGATGGTAGAATAAATTATTTCTAAGCATAAAATCAAAGTATTTCAATAAAAGGAAATTACATAACATGTAATAGGAAAAAACATTAAAAAGGTGATGTGAACTGGATAACTTGAAGAAACAAGCACAGCTTGGACCCCGTTATTGTATCTGTGCATTTTGTCAGACATTTGGTGGAGTAATGTGCCAATACTCCTACAGAATTAATTAATAGCAAGTTAAATTAGTTTTAATGATTTGTTTAATCTGCCTGTCATGTAGCATTGTACAATATTTCTGGGTAATTTGGCTGAATTTGAAGCAGACACTGACATGACTGTACAGATAATGTTTCTAAAGGACAAATAAATATTATTCTTCTATGGATTTTCTTAACATAATACAGTATAAGATCTTAGATGAGGTTTAAAATATGAAAATGAAAATGGTCTTTCTCCAGTTCATTTTGCATACAGTATGCAGTACGTACTATACAGAGCAAATAATATATATTTTTGTATCGTTTTTGCTGTTTTGAATTCCAACATAATAGCTAATAAATAAAAACTAGGAAACAATAAAAAAATCACTTAGGTACCTCTACTCTTTCCTCTTTTACTTGTTACCATAAAATATACACTTACCATTTTCATTCTTATTCTTGAAAATTTATATTTTGTGGATACTGTATCTTTTTCATGCTTAACATATGTGCCATATACTGTACTGTGAACTTTTATTTTTAAAAAAACAGACAGTCCTACTTGAATTCATGCTATAAGTTGTGATGACTGTTACTACTAATTCCGCATAGGAATAACAGGTTGAGTCACACCATGCTAAAATAAACAGTGTTACTGAAAATACAAAGATAGTGGTAAAATATCCTAGCATTTCCTAACATATATTCATTCCACATTTTTTTTTTAAATAATGTATAAACAAACAATTTTCTGCACATTTTAATAAAAAACTCAAACTTATTCATTGGTTCTGTAGCTCCTTGAGATTTAGCTAAATGCAAAGAGTGACCACAATATTAGTTGTTGTGAACGCATCAGTATTGGTTGTCTTTACACCACATCACTATTTCTTTTCATATCTTAAAGTAATTCAATGCTGTATGCTTACCTACAATCATGTGATTACAGACATCACAGAAAGTGGGCTTCTTGAAAATATGTTCCAGGAAGCTGTGGACAGTGGTGTCAGGTTGCTTCAGGCTCTTTGTTGGAGAGGAAATGTGACTGTCGGAAGTGGTAAGCTGCCCTGTGCTAGTGCTCACACCAGTCAGTAAGTCCACCTGCAGCTTCATGTCACTGTTAGTCCTCTGGAAAAAATTATCAGCACTCTTACTCCTGAGACTCTTGGCTTTGAAGGACAGTGATCTCTTCAGCTTCTGCAGCTGTGGAGAAATAAGAGTGACTTTTAGAATCCTGGCTGAAGCATTGGTCATATTTGAAAAATGCTAACTTTGGGTATGTGCTCAGTGTGTAACAGAAACAAGGTTAGCTTGGGTTCTGCCATAGTAATTGTGAAAGATAAATCCACTGAACTAAAAAGTGGCTATGACTGTATAAGAGGGTAGTGCCTAACTGTACTTTCTCAAAATACAGCATTAGAGGTATAAATAGGAATATGGATAAAACATGTGGAAAGGCCAGGACTAATGCATTATTGGGGCTTCTGACTGAAAGCTGCTCCTGTTTCAAAGTGATAAGTTTGCAGTGGTAAGGTTTATAAAAACCTTTCCTAGCAAGATCCCTATAGAATTTCTTTGGTTCACTTAACTGTAATTGCCATAGACATGTTCATGTACAGGCCAATGGTGGCAGTCCAACCACAATGAGAAATTAGAGTGAGAGGGCAGTGGAGGCTGCTGGCTATTTGCCGGAGATGTGGCTTGGAAAGGGTCATGGAGGTGTTTGAGTTGTGTTTATTGTGTGAATGAGGCGCGGCTGAGTAGGGAAGACACATGAGGGCAAATTGAATGGAGTCTGCGATGCTTACTGGGGGCTCTGAAAGAGAGAGTCCGTTGAAAAGCAATTTTACGGGCAGTGGAGGCTGACGGTTGTGGTATCTAGCAACAGACTATTAACCCTTTCAGATCCACAGTGGAGCCAGCTGTGTGGTACTGTACGTCTCCTTTGGTGGTCAGTGGGCCTAAAGTGAGACTGCAAATCAGACATTTTTCTAGCTTTAATGTGACCTTGCAACCAACAAAATTCAAGAGAAAAACTTCTGTAATAAATGTAATAGGTCCTTCCACAAAGTATTAGTTGGGGAGGGGGGGTGTGTGTGTGTGCACACGTACTGTATGCAACCAGAGTGTTGTAGGTTTTTTAATTAGAGTGAGAGGGCAGTGGAGGCTGCTGGCTATTTGCCGGAGATGTGGCTTGGAAAGGGTCATGGAGGTGTTTGATTGAGAATTTGTATTCTCTCGAATTGACTACTGCAATGCTCTACTCCCTGGGGTATCTAAATCTACTCTGAACAAACTGCAGTATGTCCAAAGTTCATCAGCCAGAATCCTGACCAGGTCTAGTGCAAGTGTTCACATTACTCCTATCCTGGAGTCCTTGCACTGGCTTCCGGTCAAATTCCGCGTAGACTTTAAAATCCTCATGCTCACCTATAAGGCTTTACATGGCTTGGCACCTCAATACCTGTCTGAACTTTTATCGCCCTACTCCCCACCTCGCAACCTCCGCTCTTCAAATTCTGCCCTCCTTACTGTCCCCCAAGCCCGTCTACATTGTATGGGCGACGGCCTTCTCCTGCTATGCCCCCAAGCTCTGGAACTCTTTGCCCAAGGATATCCGAGAGTAACCTTCTCAAAACTCCTTCAAATCCAGACTCAAAACCTTCTTCTTCAGAAAAGCCTTTACTTAACTGGTTCCATTCTTCACCCCTCTGCTCTTCTTAGTACCACCTTCCACGGTCTCCTCTATTGTTATTGTTATAATTGTAATTGTGTCTTATCTTGTGAAATCTTCCTATTTATTGTTGTAGTCTTCTTATTTATTGTTATTGTCATCCTGTAAAGCCACCTTTAAAGGCGCTATATAAAATAAAGTTTATTATTATTATTATTATTAATTTCAATTATTTTTTCTAAGAATTATCTATTTGTTTTTCTCTTGAATTTTGTTGGTTGCAAGGTCACATTAAAGATGGAAAAATGTCTGACATGATTTATCTTGATTTCTGGCTTTACATCACAAATACCTACAATTTCATTAAGGCTGTGTAGACTTTTTATATCTACCGTATCTGTGAGGCGAGTGAGCTTTTTTATTTGCGAGTCAAAAAAGTATTTTTTTCAGTAAAAGGTGTGGGAGTATGAGTAATTGTGAGTGATGAGTTACAGGATTAGATAATAAGTTTCTGTGCGTGTATCAATGAAGCCGAAAGGGCTGCCCCCCAGGATACGAAGAGTGGGCTCCTGGCTTCCTGTAGCTGAACGAAGTCTAAAGCATCTCGACTACAAGGACAGAGAAGGACCTTGGCAGGGGTGAATACATATCAGACTGTTGTGTGATAATTAAAAGAGTGTGTAGTGAAAGAAAAGAAACTGGATTGAAGTATGTTAATTGTGTCTGGGGGCTGTGTGGCTGGTCAGTGGTTAGCATTGCTGAGACTCTGGGTTCAATTCAGGACCTGGGGTACTCTCCCTGTGTTTGAGTGGGATTCCTCTGGGATCCCATTGCTTGCCAGGATATGCTCCAGCTTCCACACGGCCCTGATTTGGAAGCAGTGGTTAAAAAATGGATGGATGGATGGCTGTGTGGCTTGATGAGAGTTAGAAAAGAAAAATATGACAGGCCAATGATGAGCTCACCTAGTGGGGTGTGACCAGTCTGGTACACAAATCTCATTTTATTTATTTTGCAAAGAATTATTTTATGTTTTGAGTAATTACAACCCTTTTAGTTTATTGCTAATACTGATATAAAAAAGACAATGTGATATAAATATATGTTACTGGATGTTTTGACTATTGTCTGAAAGATACTTTAATAAATGTTTTCTTATACAATCATTAAAACCTATTATGCATGCATCTCAGAAATATTTTTTTTTTCAGTCACACATAACACAATAACTAATGGGCTAACAGAGTTCCGACAGGTTGTGCCATTGTTTGTCTGTAATTAAATTCAAATTTGTATCAGAATAAGCAGGCTTGCGTGCACTATAACCTTTAAGTTATTGCTATAACCAGTAGGTGGTCTTTGGTTCATTTCTTTGACAAAAACAATTCCCTACCTACAGTACTAATACAATTTCCAGAAGACAGAATTTAAGTACTTCTGTGGTAGGTCTTTATTTCAGGGATGTTGAGGCAAGACATGAGCACTTTCTCACTGTGAGTCCTCTCTGCTCTCATTACAATTTTTATGAGTCATTATATGTGCTGGTCAAGTTCCCAGGAAACTTCCTTTTCCAAGAATTAATTCACTCTACCCTCTGGGCAGCAGGTTTCAATGTTCCTGTTGAAGCACATTCTTAATTTTCCACTTTATTTCTCATTTCTTTAGAAATGCCTTTAGAACTAAACTGCAGCACCACTTTTAAAAATGACTAAGGTTGATAGACTGACTATAACCTAGAAATAATCAAATTCCAGTTGTCAGGAGTAAGTTTCTGAACAGAAAAAAATTGTTAATGTTTATGCTGGATGACAAGATCCATTATAGCAATGTTAATAAGAGTTAAAGAAATGTGTATTTTTGAAATGTTGTTATTTACATACAGTAATCTACCTTTTAAAAATGCCTTGAAATAAACCTTTTCTGGTCCAGATGGGCCAAATTTGTAAATAGGCATTCCCTCCCATGCCTGATCATCATAAACTGATCACCTAGTGATCAGTTTATGAGTAGTAAGGGCTCTTTACCCGTTCATCTAGTCCGAAATAAAGTTAAGTTGATGAGAGGATGCTTTTAGTTGTACAGTATATGCTAAAGCGAACAAGGACAGAGTTTAGAACCTACACAAGCAAGCAGATCATAAAAGTCCTTAATTAGAAGTGGGGATTTAGAGCTCAATTGGATTGAGAACCACAGACAAAGGACTGGGGTTGGGAACCGATTTTAGGGCTTATAAACCATTAAGATTCAATTATTTATAAAAATGTATTTCAACACTTTATATCCTTAGCCTTTCCACATACACTCTGAAAAGAAACCATGCAAAGGTGAATTTTGCAAATCAGTATGTTGGATTATGAAAAATTAATCCAAAATATTGATTTAATATTATTAATCCAGCTAATGCTGGATGCAAATGAGTCTGAAGAATGATATGAGGAAACCATGATGTCAATGAATAGTATTTTAATATATAACTTCTCATAACTAGGCATTTCAAGCATTGTTTTATAGTGACAAATATGATAAATTGAAATTGAATATACTCGGATCTGTATTTAAATCTTGCTGCAACTGTTTACAACTGCTTGTGATCCAAAAATCACAACTTCAACCAGCTTTATGAAGATTAGAATGAGAATCCAAGGCATAATACATGAAAATAAAAATGAAATAAAAGCTCAAAACTAAAAGGCTGTCTCTATGAATCAAATAACCCTCACATGGAAGGAAACAGAACTTTCCCAGGTACAGTATATTCACTAACATTGCAGTATTATTCCCACATATGAGGAGATACTATGCTTTAAGGCCAAAACAATCAAACTTTGCAATACTGTTGTTATCACAGAGACAATAGGAACTTTCTGTTAGAATTACACATTTTAGCTTTGCTTTCCATCTGAACCAACCACCAAAAAGACTGATGTCTGATTGAGGAGTTTGCACTACTATGTATGAAAGAAAATATGTCATGCCTGATGAAGGATTAGCAATGCACAGTAGTTATTACATGGCTGTTTAATCACGAACAGTTTTTTTAAAGCCGTGCTTAAAAAATATGTTTGCCTTTGAACAGCAGAAAGAAATATTATATTTTGCAGTTGTATACTCATACAGTGGGTATAGAAAGTCACCACCCCCTTTCACAATTTTTACCATTTGTTGTATAACACTTTGAAAATAAAAACAAATTAATCTAGGCTTGTTCATCTTTTATTTACACACAGTAACCCACATTTACCAAGTGAAGATAACATTCTAAAACATTCTGGAAATTAATTAAAATTACAAAAGTAAAATACCTTATTTGGATAAGTGAACATCCCCCTTACAACTGCATTTGTAAACTTGCTCAGGTATAACCAATCACCTGTTTCTAGAGGATTCCACTGCTTGGAAGTGCATTTCAAAGCAAAGAATCCACTATGGGCAAAAAGGTGCTTTCAAAAGAACTTTGAGTTAAAGTTGTGGAAAGGCACAAGTCAGGAGATGGGTAAAGATTTCAAAGGCTTTAAATATTGTCAGCCCT